GGGGCGGGGGGGGGGCACGGCCCCGCCTCCACGGCCTCCACCCCGGAGTGGAGGCCTTTGGCTTTATCCTGAGGCTGGGGAAGGATGCAGGAGGCACGTCCTTCCTGCTGTGTGTCTGGGGCACTTTCAGGAGTCCTGAGGCCAGAGGATGTGGGGTTCAGAGGCCCGGGGTGGCTAAGATGGGGAAGGACTGCATTTCCTGGCAGACCCCTCCCCCGCAGGCACCCTCCGGATAGACGGGATGCTGAGGAGAGGGGGTGTGCACTTTCCGATGTTTGCAGTCCGGTTTGTCTAGGGATTGAGTGTCCGATCTGAGCAGGAGCGGGAGTTTGGACAGAGGGACTGACGGGACGTGTGAGGACGCCCGGGAGCTTCCAGAGGGCTCCTTCCTGTGGTCTTGAGGCATGCCTGCCTGTGAATGGCTAGCAGGGGCTGCAGGGACCCGTGTTGAGTGGAAGGCTTGGGGACTCAGGGAGTGTGGCTGTATGGGACCATGCCGTTAATGAATCAATGAGGTGGTGCCCTGGGTTATCTGGGTGCTCTAGTCCTGGGCTAGGAATGCTGAGAGCAGAGCTAGGTTTGGCGCTTCACTGAGTGGGCCCGTTCCTGTGTCTGAACCTGCCAGCTGTGTGTGGTAGCAGTGTTGGGCTGAGTCTTCTCCTGACCTGTACTCCCTGCCCCACAGGCTGACAGAGTGGGCTTTTGTGGTTCTCTGGAGTGGGAAGGCGTGAGTGGGAGTTTGCAGGGGGCTGCTTTGTGTGGATCTAGTTATGTTCTTCCTTAGCCCTGTGAACCCCTCTCCCAAACCTGTCCCCACATTCCCATGTTTGTTTTTCTGACATCTTTGAGAGGCACATTGACCTAGACCAGGGGAGACATTTTTGATTGTCACAACTGGGATGGTGTTATTGGCAGCTAGTGAGTAGAAGCCAGGGATGCTGCTCAACGTTCCACAGTGCACACGACAGTCTCCCACGACAAAGAAGTGTGCAGTCCAAAGTGTCAAAAGTGCAGAGGCTGAGAAACTGGCCTGGGCAGGGGCCTGGTAAGTCTCAGTTTATGCCTCAAGGCTGAGGCCCAGCAGGGGGAGACTGAGAGAGACAGCCTGGGCAGATGAATATCCTAGGAGTCCTGCCTCCCAGCCCCCTCTGAGGCATACCCCCTAATTAGGGAGGGGAGGAGGCAGGTGCTGGGTCAGCTGTTGAGTGGGAGGGGGACAGCTGGGGCCTGTGTCTGGGTGAGGAACATTGTTGTCCCAGGAGGGAGAGAATACCGGCTCCATTGCCAGGAGAGGGGATGGAGGGGTGAGGGAGTCTGTCTGTGTGTGGGGGCTTCAGCTTTGCCAGCTGACTCTGGCTGCTCCCTGCATCAAAGGAACCC